ATCTCTAAAGTTCAAAATGAGAAAACATATTTAAAGATAAAAATTAGAAACATTGTGGCGCCAACACGCTGGCTTGTACTTGGTGAGTTTGTCGTCTCGGTATCTCTAAAGTTCAAAAATGATAAAACATATTTAAAGATAAAAAATTAGAAACATTGTGGCGTCAACACGCTGGCTTTGTACTTGGTGAATTTGTTGTCTCGGTATCTCTAATGCTATGAATATTTGTGGCGTCAACACGCTGGCTTGTACTTGGTAAGTTTGTTGTCTCGGTATCTCTAAAGATCAAACTGAGAAAACATACTTAAAGATAAAAATTAGAAACATTTAATGCAACTCTTTTCTCATAAGTTGTATCTTTTTATTCATACCTAGAACAACTTCTTGTTATCGTAAAAACGTTTCAAGTATGTTATTTGAATTGCTGCAAGCCATTGAACTGTCTCAACTCACCTTAGAAATCTACCTTAAATAGAACACTTTTTTTTGTTGTAGTTATTGCTAAGTTATGTAGGAGACCAAAGGTATTAAAAAGAAGGAAAGAAAAAAACAATGGTTACCCATTTCCCAGTATACTCTTCCTTATATCTCCAACCAAGAGGTTATTATTATTAAAAGTTTGGTTAGACCTTCTGGATGGAATTAATAATTAAAAGAATAAAAATATTTGTTCTATATTTATGCAACAATATTACAATTTTCTTTGTTTTAAGTTAAGGTGAGGCCACCATATTAGTTTCCATGAGATTCAAAAGGGCTTTGAATTCTTTCACTAGAAGCCGCAAGTAAAATTTGATGTGTTATTGATTTGTATATTTATTACAAATCAAACAACAGCAAAACTCGTGTAAAACCTTACTTTAAGAAAGAAAAAAAAAAGAACGTTATGATGAACTTTTTTATGGGTGAAGCCTAGAGCATATAAAGTAAGTTTTAGCTTTAAAGATAATAGCATTTTAAGAAAAAATAAACTTTCTAGCATCCTAAGTTGGCAATTTGTAGATATTTATATTTGTGTTTTATACAAAACAAAGCTGCTACTGTTAAGTTAGATTTAATGATGGTTTATTCCATTTTAAATTAAACTGCAAGCTTTTGCTTGTAATTGGTCAGGTGTAGTTTAGAGTATTATGTTTTCTTTGTTCATCACAAGATGTTTGAAGAATAACTGATGTTAACACTAGAATTTTACTCTTCATATCGTTTGGTAGAAAAATTGTAAGATTATTTTTCTCGTCAAAAGAAAAATATTGTTTTTGTATCTGATGGAATTTGTAACATGCTTTGAACAGAAATAAAATAGTGGTCCTTAATCTATCATAGCTTATCAAAGTGTACTGTTTTATCACTGGTTAATATTTAAGTAGATGAGAACAAAATAATAAATTTTAAGTTAATACTAATAATGTTGAATCACTTCTCGGGTATATGTCACAATCCAAATATAAAGTGTGAAACTTTCCATTAATTGATTTTCTGTGCTTTCTCTGCACTATGTAGTACAGAACATTTTATTTTTTCTATTGTTTACAGTAAGATTGATGAGAGCCTCAGTAAAACCACCAAGATTTACCCTCTACCACATATGTATGTCATTAAAGACTTGGTTCCCGTAAGTATAAATATTCATGTTGCTAAACTTAGTTTGTGTAGTGCAGCTCGAACCTTCGTATATTACCTTGGTGCCGTTAGAATGACACGATCATTTTGATGAATTTTGACAGGTCAACCAATCAGCAGATTAAGTGAAAGGTTCTTTTTTATCTGTTTGAAATATTGTAATGAAATGACAAAATACTTTAAAAATGTTATAAAAAAAAATGCTGATCAAAAGGTAATGAGATTTACTTTGAATAAAATATGTTCAGAATGCTTTGAAATTAAAGTTACCAGGGTGAAATTGTCTGTAAAGATTTGATATCTTCACTGTGAAAGTACATAGTCTGTGAATGAAATAACAGGCCTTCATGTTGTGGTAGAATGTACAGGTAATATGAAATGAGGTGGGTTGTGGTAACATTATCAAATGATTTGATTTTAATATTAACTACCAGTTCCTAGAACAACACTAAAGATTCACATGGTAATGAGTATAATTGATTAAATATTTATTCTAATATTCTTGTTTATTAAATTAAACGTATTGTTTGATCAGTTGAGTATCGTCTCTGTTAACAATATTTATGGCCGTAATTGTTCAGATACTCAGAAACACTACTGAATTTGAAATATATATAAAATGAAAGTGTGGAGTAAGTAGTTCAAATAATGTTTATTTTAATGTAAAGTAATGTAATAAATTTAATTAGATACTTTTATAGTTTTCAATATTGTTCACATTAAAAATGTTTCGTGGCTATGTCTTCATAACCATGCTATTTTACCACTGAAATGTTAATATTAATCTACCAAATAGGAAAAAAAAAAAACTTTTACATGACATTTTTACAATTGGTTAACAGGGTGAGTAAATTTTTCAACCAGAAAATAGAATCCATAAAGAATTTTGCAACATGTAAATGTATTATCGACCAACGTTTTGTTTTTGTATTAATTGAATTATACTATCTGTTTTTTGTTTTATTTAAAATGCACAGGACATGAATAATTTCTATCAACAATACAAGTCAATCCAACCTTGGCTTCATAAGAAGGAGGAAGGAAAACTTGGACAGAAACAGAACTTGCAGAGTGTGGAAGATAGAGCCAAACTTGTAAGTTTTTATTGTTTGCATCTTACTACTGTTTGAAACTGATATATAAGTTACACTTTATACACACACTAAATATGTTGTAATATGTACGTTTCACTGTGTAGTTTAACAAAGTATATTAAAGCAAGCTCTTATTTTTTCAATTTTAATGTCTACACAAGTTATCTTGATTACAAAAGTGTTATAGAAAAACTGAACTGTACCATTAATCAAGTTACCATTTGTTGTATCAACCTGTATTATCGTGTATACTTAACTGAAATCTACCAAATATTCATTGATACAAGATCACTTCATAACATTGAGGACAAGTTTCTAATTGTGGGAAAACCTGATAGATGTAGTAGTTTTCTTTCATGTTCTTGTCAAAAAGTTAAATGTTTTTAAAGAAATATTTGTCAGCCAATAAGCAGCATTACTTTCACTCAGGATGGTCTGTACGAGTGTATCCTCTGTGCGTGTTGCTCAACTTCTTGTCCTAGCTACTGGTGGAACGGTAATCGTTACCTGGGTCCTGCTACCTTGATGCAAGCTTATCGCTGGGTGATTGATTCCCGAGATGAGGCTACAGAAGAACGTTTGGGAAAGCTGAAAGATCGTTTCTCTGTTTATCGTTGTCACACTATCATGAACTGCACCAAAACATGCCCCAAGGTAACTAACATTTTTATCTTAACTGGTGTAATGTATTCGATGACGAGGAACCCACTTTGAAACTAATAATGGCTGGAGACGGCTTGAATGGGTAATGAAGAAAAACTTTAATATAAGTTTAACATAACAGCAAATGTACAACGTTTCGACAAGGTTTTGTCATCATCAGATACAA